TTGAACATGGACTTGTGTTAGCCCAAAATACAAATATTTGCCCCTGTCAAATTTACGAAGCATACGAGCTTGTTATTCATGTCCATCGCGTTCCAAACGGAAATCTCTCACTATATATAAATATAGAGTTTTCAAATTCTATGTGTCAAGTTACGGTGTTAGTAATTCTACGTGTTGATTCTGATGCTTCTTAATCTTATGTGTCAATTCATGGTGCTTGGAGTAGTCCATATATAAATTTGGACTTCCTACTTATTAATACCTTCAAAGTTATTAATTATTTGACCAATTTAAATTATTTAAATATGTGTTACAAGTTAATAACATGTGTCTTTGTTATTGATTTTTCATATATGAATTATGATATATTAAATTAATCGTCACTTGAAAAACGTCAATTTGATATTCATACTTAATATATGAACTAAATAAAAAAATATTTATCTTTACTATAGAAATGAATTATATGTGCATATTCATTGAAAAAAAAAATTATGTATTAAAAGTAGAAAATATCATATATGTCATTATATGATATGAATTAAAAAATTATTATAATAAAAAAATAAGTAAATCGTACAAATGACGATTGTTATTTAAAATTATATATATAAATATTTTCAAATAAGAAAATCTCCTTTTTATTTTTTAAATTTATGTGCAAATTATTATACATATTTGATAGGATATAAATAAATGTATGACATTTTAATAATACCATACATTTTTTATAAGACAATATATCTGTTTAAGGGTTAGATGACGAAACAACAATATTTTGTGTAAGAAAAATATTAGTTTTGCTCACAATGTGAGTAACAATAATGATAAAGAAAGTTAGAACATGTAATGAGTACACCCAAGAGCGCTTGGATGAGATGACTTGAGTCTCTTTCATCTTAACCAAGAGCTTTGCCGCCCTTGTGGTCCTACCCGGCTCGATTCCGAATTAGTCGGTTCCCCTGTGGATCCAAAAACCGGAAGGTCCCTATCCAAAAAAAAAGAACATGTAATGAGTACAAACTCAATTCATGGTTGAAAATAAGTCACAAAATATCCCTTTTTTATAGATATTATAGATAAAATAGTATATCAAATGTTATTGTAATCTAGAAACCCAATTACGTATAAAAATTTAATTAAAAAAATTATTTATAGAATAACATCAACCTATGTAATATAATTATACAAGATATAATACAAGTCTCTATAATCATGAAAAAGTTACTTACAGATCAATTACATGAACCTATATACTATATTATACAATATCTAATGTAGTTATTTAATTTTATATAATATATCACGAGCTTCAAGCTTTAAAAATATCGATTATTACAATTATTATTCTCTATTTCAGTTTTAAATATTGCCCTCCATACTAATTAAACATACATAAATTATCTCATTAATCCAAAAATTGACTTTTTTTTTCCTATAAAAATAAATATAAACCAGTTAGTCTTGAATTTTCAAAATTTTTATTATAACAAATTATAGACTTAAAAATCTTAATTATCTAAAAACAAATAAAATAACCCGGGACGAAACTACACACACACACGGAGAGGCGCCGACCCTTCCAAA